TTATTCTTTGCCAGATAGATCCCAGCCTCTTTCCTTGTTCTTAGTGATGTATTTTCGTTTTGTTCATCTGTGATTTTCCTCAGCACATTGAAGAAGCATACTTAATGGCAGCAGTAATAACAGTTTGCTGCAGTTTGCAGGTTTTCATCTGAAATGCCCCCGAGGCCTTCTGCTCCTTCAATTAGTCTCGGTCTCGAACTTCGTCTGGTCACCCAAGTGGAAAAGTCAATAACAGCAAAGGTTCCCGTTGACCCACTGAATATATACAGTCACAGGTGCTTTAACGGGTGGACTTTTTAATCAAAGTCATGCACAAAAATGTACTTCTTATTTTCAGTCATCTCATGTTACTGCTTCACTGCTTTGCAGACATTTGGAAGCATACAGGTAAAAACATTATTGCCGCAGCAGCTATGGCCTCGCTGTTAATTGTGCAGGGTCAGCAAGTTTAGCCCATCCATGAATGAATCTCATATTGTCTATAGGTTGCACAGTGTTTGTGCGTCTGGTGTAATGTGATTTATTGTGTTTTCTGTGTCTTCAAGAGGTTTTTTTTCATTGCATTTTAATAAAAAGTCCAATATTTTTGAATTGTATCTTGTGGTTTAAAAATGCTGACCAAGCTCTACTCTGAATGTGAAGGAGAAGAAAGGATCTATGTGTTCAGTTATGCTTCAATAACATGATATTTATAAAGCTTCATTTATTCCCTTAAAAAGTTAAATGTGTGCAGTCAGCCTTAAATAACAGAGCTCTTGCTGTGCCCAATTCACTCACACTCCATTATGATGATTACACTTTACACTGAGATACTAAGGAGTTACAGATTGTCATAATGTAAATGTCAGAGATGAAAGCTAGCCATGTTTTTGGATAAACTTTCCACCAGCTCAGTCCCCATTTTGACTTCAAAGCTGCCTTAATTTTCTGTGGAATAGTTTCAACAACACGCTCGAAATATTCCTTAGAGAATTTCATTGAGGTACTGTTTTGTAATTTACTGATTAGTTATGTGTGTCAAAGAGCGGCTGAACAGGTGTACCTAATAAAGTGGCTGGTGACTATGTATCTAATTACATATTTATTTTTCTGGCATGCATTCGAAAGGTTAGTCTTTTGGCTAATCCAGTGTGCTGAAATCAAATTTCAATTTGAACGTAATGTTGTGGTACACCGGTTTTAGCTGTATACATCAGTGACTTCTTTGTAGCTTCCACAACGCAGATATAACTTCAGATGTGAACTGAAAAAGATGCAGCGATGATATAAAGTCTTCTATTTTACATTCACAAAGAGATAACTGGTTAAATCTTTGCCCTTTTGTAGCGGACAAACTTTTTGGGGGGTTGCATGAGGAAAAGCATTCAGTGCAGAATGATCCACTGTGGTGATCCCCTGTGAAGGAGGAAGAAGCCAAAAGTATCTCTTTCTTCTGCTTTCTGCAATAGCAGGACTGGATGTTTTTGTGCAGCATGTGTGAGAACATGCAGCATATCTCTGTCAACATAACTCAGAGAGCTTGACAGCTTGGAGATGTGTTGACTGTAGAGTCCTGCCTTTCTGTACTGTATGCCTACATGCAGTTTTTTTTAGCTGATTACCCCAGGGATTTTATTTCTGGTGTTTTGATGGCAGGGGCCCACGTGCACCACATTAAAGAACAGAAAAATATTTGTTTCTGACACTGATGATCTTAACATGAGTTCCAGTCACCACTGCATTCTACATTGATTTACTCTCTTTTACATGTGGGTTGTATCACCTGTCTCATGCGTAACCTTTTTGTAGACATCATGCTCCTGTTAGCAGTCTCATGCAACACTCATTAATGTTTTATTGGCTCACACTTCAGAAAGCTCCTCATACATTTGTAATTTATGATCCCTGTAAGGTGCTGTTCGAGTCATTCTGTACCAATGTGTACGTTCTCACTCATGAACCGTTGGGGAAAAGAATACATCCAGCATCTGACTGGCCAAGAGGTTTGCATTTGAAGACGTCCTCTGCTTGGAGGGTGATTGAAGCTGACCTAAAAAGTATAGCAAGCTTCTCAACTTCTCAAGCCTCCTGTGAGCCAATTGTAATTACACAGAGCAGAGCTGTGTCAGGCTGTAAGTTGTAGCTTTAGAAAAGTGTAAAGGATGGTGGAAACTGTGTCTGCCAGAGTGGGATTGACACTCTTTAATCTACAATACCTAAATTTTCAGTCCCACAAAATGTGATTCTGTTATATAAGCTGCTCAAATTTATTATATTTTATCCAGCTCACTGTTTTATTACATTCTGTTCTGCCTGATTTTCCTATTAACAAATCCAACATAATTATCAGTGCAATCAAGCCTCAAGAGTAACCACCCAAAATACTCAGCCCAGTGTTATCATGAGTCTTTTTTATGGGTCACTAAATATTCATGAACCCTCCAAGCACATTACAGATAGTTTTTAGACACAACAACAACAACAACAGGGACGTGGTCCTTTGAGACTGATTCCTATCAGAAAACACTTACAAAGTAGCTTCAAGCTTGAGTTCTCCATGAATATGTATGGCGTTCCTTCTTTGTGACTCTCAGGGAGGTAGATCTACTGAAGACATTAACAAGGACCATATCTATTTCTAAGTGCCCTGCTGGAGGATTAGCAGCATCTAGTCAGGGCTGAATATCTTGGGTTTCTCCTCAGGGATCAGGGAATTAGAAGGTCATCAGCAACTCTCAGAATATCCCAGAGGGGATGACGTTAGGAGGAGGCTTTTCAGCATTGCCACAGCACCGACTGATATAATGCACATTGGCATAGTAAAACAATGAAGGGCATCTTGACCTCCTCTAGCCAACATTAACTCACAGAAAACAGAAATTCAATGTGAAGAAATGCAGTGCTGTGCAAAGGTCTTGAGCCATCCTATGTCTCTTTATATTTTCCTTCCTAGTAGCCCGTCTTTCTTTTCGTTTTTCTTTGGACATTGGCTACTTTTTCAGTTTCAAAATGGTTATTTACATTTTTTTTAAATTCATTGTTAAACCACTAAACACTGACTTATGAATCATTCAAGCATAAAAAAGCACCTAAATTGAAATATTTGCCCCTGTGACCACAGTAACAGTGGTGTTTTAATGCATCTGACACACACACACACACACCATATGGCTATTTCTCTGAGGACATGAATGCACTCCCAGGCCACTAACCCTAACTCTCTGCTAAAACCCACACTGTACCTCACAAAGGGAGCCATATAAGTAAAAAATTAATGACCACGAAAGCTTCAGATAGATATAGGTAACATAAGGGATGACTTACATGTTTAAAATAACAGAATTTTTAGTAACAGGAAATAAAAAAACAGATGGAGTAGGAACAATTAAAGTAATAACAAATCATAGAAAGGGGTGGAAGGGAGGCATGATGTAAAGCTAAGTAGGAAATATAAATGAAAGAAAAAGGGATGGAGATGAATAAAAATGAAGAGAAACATGGAAAAATTTGGAAGGGGAAAAATAAAGTAATTAAAGAGAAAATAAGTGAAAGAAGAGAAAAGTAAAATGAAAGGAAATAGGATAGATGCAAAACTGAAAGGAAATAAGAAAGTAGGGAAAAGGAAACAATGGAAAAAGTAGGAAACGTTGATTTCTTGGTTCAGTTTGTGTGTGATTTCAGTTTTAGGTCATTTCACTACAACAACTTGTGCTTTTAGTTGAAATGTTCACTAACCTTGAACTTCTTTCTGGTGTAGCAGCTGATTTACGTTTGGGTACTCTCGAGTAATAAAATAGGTCACAGATGTCAAGCAGTGTGTTTCAGTGTACAGGGAATTTTCTCATTTGGACTACCTACCACTAGGCCATATGTAAATAACTAAATAACTTTATAACTTAAAGCAAAATTGGAAAACGTAAAGTCTGAAACAAGCCTTTATATTAAGGGCCATCAGTCAAACAATACTGTTTGGTTTGGGTCTAAACAGAAGGCGTTGTGTGTGACGTCTTCTTTTGCGCATGCGGGCCGCTTTGAGGGTTCACACTAGAGCGCATTTGCGGTCCCATTTTATTTGTAGTGTGAGCAAGCAGACAAAAAATTGGATTTGATCAAAAAATCAGAATTGAGCATTAAGACCTGCAGTGTAAACGTAGCCTGAGACAGGGTCTGCAGACCTTTAGATGTTATTGGAATAAGTTTGGTAGGGCAGCCAAGGCCTGTCAAGGACATTGTTTCTATAGATCATGGTATGACGTGTTCCTTTTTTAGATCTTTTAGCCTAGTTCACTTTGTCGGGATGGTTTTATTTATTACTTTATTTACATGATGATCATGGAAGAAAGCGCACGGAAAAGCTGTGATATTTACTTTCTCTCTTAGGTCAGGTGGACTACACAGTCCACAGTATGTCCACAGTCAGGTGGACATATGGACTACAGTGACTAGTACTGATCATCGGGTTAAAAATAAATATTTCTGTAAATGATGAGTCATGTTTTGGTTTTTTTTATTATTCAAACCAAATCTTTTTTTGTATAATTTTGACAAAACAGAAACCTGATGGAAGGTTGTGAAACCAGCTGTCAAGACCAGGCCAACCTCAAACCTGCCAGGTCCATTTGGCTGAGCATCACTGAGCTGTGTGTTAGAGCAGATTGAATCAGATCAGAGGAACGTCTCCATGAGATTTAAAAAAAAAAACCAAAAAACAAAACAGAGGCAGGTAAGGAGAGCAAAGGGGGTTAATCCTCTGGAGGAAAAAGGCGAGGCTTCTTCAAAAAGGGGGCAAAGTAAGGTGCACACATGCAATATTGATTGAGTGGAGAGGAGACTGTGGAAGGAAGAGACTAGAGGATGAGGGGGAAAATATTGTAATAACCTCAGATACACACACATATACACACCAGGGTGCTTGTGCCATATACAGAAAAATATTGTTGCAAGTTGGAAAACATCCCTAAATTTAGGTACTGTCATTTGCATCACTGCTTACCTACATCATTTCTATCTTTCATTTTCAGAATAAAGTCCTGAACATTGATGGAGTCAAGGTGAAGCTCCAGGTAAGAAATCTAATTCATTAAGATAATATTCTAAAAACATAGTCTGGTATTTAACCTGTCCCTACAAAGGTGGAGATTATTGACAGACATCTTGAAATGCCATATTTATTTACTGTTAAATAAACACGTTGATAGGTTGAAGTCATTATCACAGGTCTGTCATAGCGAGTAGAAAACATTACTGCCATTGGAGCCAAACACAGTGCTGATGGGGGAGAAAGACTTAATGAGCCAATTCCACTGCGATTGGAAAACTTAGTATCAGCCAGGTGATTTCTGTTCAGTGTTATGACCCTGACTGAAGTAAAAATAAATCTGACACAAGAAATTTTTACTACTGTATATATCCAACCTATGGTATGATCTTCAAGCTGCAAATTGGGTAATATTTTTATACTAATGATTATGGACCAAATTACAAATAGAGGTGGTTGCAGTGACCAAAGATGTTTTGGCATCTTTTAGTGAAATGGCCTGTGAATGGTTTGGTTTCACCAATCATATCAATATTTTTACAAACCTTGCTTCCAGCAACAACTTTTGATACTCAGTATAGACAACCTCCCTAGCAACAGATACCAGACTGATGAAACTGACTAGCTGGTGATAAAATATGAGCTTGAATTGGAATTAATTTACACAGTACCCGCATTTTTCCAATGTACAGAAAGGTGACTTTAATTAATACCATCGTTTTTTGTTGTATGTGACAAGTACAAAGGAAATTATTTGCACACTAGCCAGAACAATTCTGATATGCAAGCTGCCGGTGTTGTTGAGAGCTACCAGTCCTTTTCAGTGCTGTGTTAGTAAGATAGTTTGAGTCCCATAGATCTAATTACCATATTCTATGCTTATCCAAAATCACAGAGTGAATTGAATGGGTGGTTTCACAGTGAGTGCCTTCCAGCTGAGTGAGCAAACATAAGGCTTATTAAAAAGACGGAAACTCCTTCTTCTATTTCAATGATCACCTCCCTCTCTAATTATCTGCAGATCTGGGACACAGCTGGACAGGAGCGGTTCCGCAGTGTCACTCATGCCTACTACCGTGATGCCCACGGTGAGACACACACACAAATACACACTTTAATATCTTTTCTTGATTATTATACTAATGATTTAACTTTGTTCTTGTCAAAATGTGTTATTATATGCAGCTGCCATTCAGCCATTATACAATGAAAGCCAGTGCATTTGTATGCAAATTGCGAACTTTATTTTTCCTGCCATTACATGAATATTTTGCGAATGGCATTGGATTCGAGTTCATACACTGCACATAATGAAAGGGAGTGTTGATGTTTTCAAAGACAATGCATTGCCATCAAACGAAACTTTTACAGCAGTTGTATTTCACAGCCTTTTTCGTATCAAAGCGTAGAAGAGATTGCTTTTGTTCCACGCTGCACAATTGTCAAGCGCTGAAGCTTTATAACACTTCAGCTGAGATAGAAGGGCAGCAATTTCAGGATTCGGGGACTCTCTGATGATGTGTAATCAGTCATCACATATGAGTGTGAGTCAGCGTGTGTTTATGTCTACTTTGTATTCATCTTGATGGCATTAGTCACTATGTAAGTTAATTAGAAAGCTCTTAGTTGTGACATTACATTGAGTTGTCATGGAGTTGGTAATCATGTTAAAAGTCTTTTTTGGAAGTGTCTTTGATCAAATGTGAATAACCTGGTGCATGATACACTAAATCCGAACAAACATACTCTGATTTCTCAGGTTTTTTCCTATCCAGGATCTTATCCTTACTAAATAATGTTCAGCAAGGAATTTCTAAGTAAAAATTACTGTTTAATTCAGATTTCTAAGCAGACCTAACCTGTCTTTGAGTAAGTAAATATCAGCTCTGCTTCTATGTTTTGTTTTGTTTTTTCTGCTTGATATTCACTGAATGTTTCAGTATGTGTTTGTAATTTTGTGCACTTATGTGACTGCATCACTTCCTTTCATCTTATAATCTCTGGTCATTTGGGGATTCTTGTGGGATCAACCATCTGGATCAGTGTGCCTGTTTAAATCAATTTAAGTTTGTGGAACCTAAGCTGGGGTTTGGTTTGGCGTGTGACCAACTATGCATAAATGATAGAACAAAATCATCTGTTTCCGTGTATTATCTATGCTAGGGTTTGGCGGTCAGGCTGCATAATTACACCAGTTTCACCGAATCGTCTCTGTCTCCTGTAATAAGGGGACCCTAACAGACTTTTAGCAGGGTAAGTTTCAGGCAAGATGCCCTGGGGACATATCTTGTTTTCTCAAAACCACATCACGTATGTCTGGAATGTAGCCTTACTCATCTTTGTGTCGGAATTTTGTTATTTTTCCATTACTGCCGTGGAGCAAATGAGAGAATGTTCCAACATCCTAATCAACTTTAGGTTCTTTTAATGCCGCTCTAAGAGCGTGTGTGAGACAAGAATTTAATAAAGCCTGAACTGCTATTGGAGAAAAATATCCCGGATGTGATGTGAATATTAAATATTTTTTGTGGCCACTGCAGCATTAATAAAACCGTGACAGGTTCATTGAAATAGTGTAGACTTTTCTTTACACAAAACTCTTTCTTTGTGCCTATTGGCACACACCTTCACACATCGCTTCAAAACTCATGTTGATACCAAGCCTATAAGTGCTGCTGACTGTGAATCTGTGCAACGTTGTTTAATCTGAGCAAACTCCCGTTTCAGGACCAGACTGTCAGTCGATTTTTGAAGTCTCTGAAGCGTTGTACAGAAGGTCTGCTGTAGTGGTTTATAAGCTTTCAGCTCACACAGTTTGATCTCCCTGTCTGTCTTCATGCTGTGTTCTGTGCTTCCCCCAAAGCCTGCAAACAAACCAAAGTTATTTCCAGCAGTGTAACTTTTTTCTGCTTCTTCGTGTAACCAGGCAGCTGTTGCAGGTTTTGTGTTATTTCTGACTGTTTGAAGCTGCTTTATACGTCTGTCTACATCAGTTTACTGCTAATGCAAAGAGACCTTGGGGCAAGGCTATGACTGAAATGGTACATAAATGTTTAAGGGCTTTACAGCACAAGGTGTTTTATTTCAATTAATTTTGCAACTACATGCAAGCTGTATGCCACAAGATTAAAGGTTTATAAAACATGTTAAATTTTCTTTTCCAAATGTTAAATCTTTAAAGTCCTGCATTAAATTGACTCGTCTTTAAGGTGGTATCCATGGGCAGCTTTGCACCACTCCCACAGCTCCTGTGTTTTGGATCACTCTGTGGAATTCCTGTTCTGAAATCTTGCTTACAGACAACAAATATCAACTTTTGTGTCAGATTGGTCCAACCACATTGTTGAAGATCATCACTGAGAAAGAGAACTGCTTCTCTGACTACAACCTAGAGACTAAACCCCAGCCTTCAACTGAAGAGCAGAATTCTCGAGCCCAAAGGCAGCGCTCATGCTCTGTATTTATTTCTGCATGCACAGGCACATTCATTGTGAAGTCGTCCTCCAGGGTCAGACTTTTAATGTTTTGTTAATGCTTCAGTTCTACTGTAACATCACAAGGCATCATTAATAAAGCAGTTTGAGCCTAACAAACATCATCACTACTCACAAACCTGGCGTCTGTATCATCTTCCTTAAAATGCAGTCATAATATAGATGCAGTCAGAATGGGGTGATCCGAAAACTGCAGAGATGCTTGAAGCGGTCAGCAGGTGCACAAGGAGACAAGCAGATCTTTTTGACCAAACCTTATACTATATCCAATGCCAAAAACCACACAAGAAAATTGTTAAAGTCCCCCAAAAAACTGATCAGACCCACAGGTAACTGTAATTGTTTTATGATTTATTTGTGACATTTTGGCATTTCCATGTATTTCCACTTCATTCAGTTTGGAAAAGTCAAACAATTCCTTCTTCTCCCTGTTTACACTCGGTGGATTTGCACTCCTTCATGAAACTGAAATAGACAATTAAAAATGAAGCCATTTGTCAGTGAAATAATATTTAGGCTATCGGAGTAGAGCTGGAGCCAGGGGCTCCGCAGCTAAAGTAGCACCGCAGAGAGAGAAGTGTAGGAGCACAAATTGCTCTGCAAGAGGACATGGAGAAAACAGCAGGATTATTTTAGATGTTGGTGGATAGGCAGCGTATTTGGTGTGTGGGAGAAAAATGCAGACAGTCATCAGGTTTTTTTCTACTCAATTCAAAAGAAATCTGTGGTTATTGTTTCAGCACTGGGACGTTTCCTGTAGTTAAAATTTGTACGCCTTGCTTTAACTTATCTACACAAGCACTGCATTAAAACCAAGATCAGAACAAGTTATGAATTAAAGACAGACAGACACAGAAAAGAAGAGGTGGGCTAAAACAGAAGACTGTGGTGCATTTCAGTATCAAAAATTTAATTTGTCCAAGCTACATCTCTAAAATATATACAGGCCATTTGGTGTAGAAGAAGGGATTAGTTAATCCAGTTATTTCAGACTGCATAAAAAGTAACTCCTCAGTGGGGAATCACACTTGGAGCTGCTGAACAGACTCTTAATTAAGGAGTAAGGTAGAAATACACTGATAAGCTCCAAATGCCCTCAGCTGTCTCAGATGGAAGGACACTAATCTTCTGCAACATTTTTACCACTGTCAGATCTATGTATGCCTGTCGTTCACTTTTTTTGCTTTGTGATGGACAATTTTATACCAGCTTTTACAACAAAACCTCCAAAAATGCTCCTATTTGGTAGTCTGTCTTTTTTATAATTTATAAATAATGGAACACCTTTTAGAAACGAGTACAAAGTTATGTACAACCTTTCCCCAAAAAACATTTATTTCTATTACTGAGTCCATCCAGAAATGATGAGTGAGGAAAGAAGTTGTATTTGTATGTGTAGTGAGTCCACAATCTCAAAGCTGGTTTGGACGCTCATTCGAGGTGGTGTACTGTTCACTTGGACAAGAAACTAAGTCAATGGGCCATATTGGAACGGAGTCTAAATACACATCAGGGAGAAGGGTAATGCAGGGTCAGATAGTAATGGGACAGGGAAGAGAATGGATATAAGAAAGAATAACCTTCAAAATATAAGAGGAATCAACAGAAATAAAGAAATTCACCTACACAAACAAGAAGAGCCAGGCAGGCAGGAAAACAACTCAAGGGTAGAGCCAATAAAAGTCTAAAAATACAAATTTTACAGCATAAACTGTGCCGTGAAAGTTGTGAGTATGCTTTCATAATAAAGATTCTTCCGTTACTTATTAGTCTAGCTCTGTCTTGGAGCCACAGTGATGGGAAGTGGTCCCCTATTTCATCTTAATAGCTTGGCTGTTTTTGTTCAATTATTGCTTTTTATCAGTTCCCTTCTTTTATCCTCACAATATCTTCATTTAAAGCTTAGCTTGACTGTGCCATGTGTTCTACAGTGCAAAAACCTTCAGATTTGTGAGGAGAAGATACTAACCAAACACCTGAAGCTGACACCTGCTGACATTTTAACATTAGTAATAGAAAAAAGCTGGATAAGATGTTGAATTCAGATAGCAGAAAGATATCCAATAAAACGGAGACTTGCAGGTTATGATTTTAATGTGTCCTGACTTCATCCACGTAGTGGTGGCCAATTGCAAAAGATTGAGAAACACCTGCAGCACAAGTCTGGCAGACCTCAGCTTTGTTGCATAGCTGTCAGTCCTCATCATGTTCATCCCTCCTTGGGCGCTGCCTTTCTCAGCTGCAGTGTCTCTTTTTCTTGAGTATCTTCAGGTAAACTGCTACATAGAGTTAGAACAGCTTAGGGGCTCTATGTATTTCATTTATATTCATTAGAATCCTTGAAAATATTAAACTTTTATATGTTTTTGTTTGCGAAATTAAGTTGGTACTCACATGAAATTAATGCATCAAGGTTAAAGACAGTTGTTTTTTTAATGCCACAACTTTCTACATGGCATCTTTTGCTTTGTATCTTTCAGCTCTTCTCTTGCTGTATGACGTCACCAACAAATCATCCTTCGACAACATACAGGTTAGTCATTCTCTTGATTAAATAATTGTGTCCATAAAACAAAATAGTACTCACTTTTATGCAAGTACATAGTATGACAGCATCACACGTCCATTCCAAAATTCACCTTAAAAGTAGTGCATGTAAGTGATCAGAGTCGAGGATGAGAGGAAGCTGCTAGTGAAGATGTCTGGGGTGGGTCAGGGACACGGGTTTCGATGCCTGACGTGTGCTTTTCACTAGTCTTTAAAAAGTGAAAGGATGTGGCTGGATCAGGGCCACAAATGTCAAAAAAGAATCTGCGACATCTCATACATTATTCATTGTCACTGGAATAAGTGGAAGTAAAATCTGACTTTGTAATGCTGAACAACATCATGACCAAATGGCAATCAGGAAAATGGAGATTAATTACTATGTCATTGTAATTTGTGGTGGGGTGGTTGGGGGAAGGCCTTATGGAGTTCTTCCCATACTGTCCAGTGGGAAAAGTGTGAATGAGGTCTGTGCAAAGGGGAGACTTGAATGGAATAACTAATCGGATCAGGAATATGAAGGAAGACTGAAAGTTACTGAGTGAGGGGTAGCATGGTTACCTTATTGTCTAAACTTTGTGGTATTTCTCAGGACTAAAATTCAGGACTATTTGAATTTTTAGGTGAAAAATATTTTTTACAAATGTAGTTAACTTAGTTTCTTTTATGAATCACTAGGGGGGCATCTGTCGGCTACATTTGGCCTTATCGTTAGGCACCTAGGCCAGCACCACTAATGGCCAGCAGGTCAATATTAGTATTTCTGCAAGGTCATCTTAAAATTCTCTTTTTGTCTACTGGATGCACTCGAACAGCAGAAGCACTCAAAACAGATTAGATGATGAAGGATTAAACTAATAATAATCACATGACCACTTGTGTATATGAAACCATTTATTATTGTTTATTATTCTCTTCTCTTTCTCTCTCCGTTCCTTCCGCTCGTCTGATCACAATGGGGGGCAGGGCTTTTAGTTGCTCTGCCCCTCGACTTTGGAATTCCTTACCCCCTGA